CATCATCATCGTTATCAGCAGCAACAGTTGGAGGTGGCGGTGTTTGATTTGTTTATATTTTCAATTTCATTATTCGAAATGAAATTTAAAATGAAATGACGTGTGTGTGAGTGTTCTTTTAAATGAAATTAGAATGTTCTAATTGTACAGATTTGGCTATAACATGGAAACCAAACACAAAAACCAAAATGAAATGGAAACAAACAACACAAAAAAGGAAGAGGAAATTCATTTCAATTAGTTTTTTTTTTTTTTGGAGTTTCATATTGGAATGTATGAAGGGTATGTATGCGCATTGAAAAAAAAAAGACACTTAAAAGTTAATATTGAAATTGTCGAAATTGCAATTTCCTCTATTAACCGTTAAGTGCCTTGGGGCGATAGGAGATTACTCTACTTTGTAAACACTGTGCTCTAGTAATGAAAAATTTAAATGAACCATTTTGGGATGGTGTTGCATTTAACATAACTTGGTTGGTTGGGTGGGTGGTTGGTTGGTATGGCATAACTACTTAGCAAGAGGGGTTAGATTTCGGGGGGATAGGGGGAGACTTGTATTTATACAACAGAGTTCGTTTTTGGGGTCAAGGTGTCAAACAATACTACCATATGCAAGCAAGCATTGAGGGGACACTGTAAATGAAAGAATTAACATCAAAGCCAGCAATGTTCGACAGGAAACGGAAACACTGTTTAAAGTTGTCATTACTAATGTAAAATGTGTGTAGGTGGTTGAATACATAATACGTAGTAATTGTAACCATAAATGGTTGGAATGACAGATTATAATTCATTCATTCGCACGATGTTATCCAATAACATCGTTAAATATGCCCACATATATAGGTACTTGTTTATATGTTTACACACAATTTTAAATAGTTCCAAACGAGGATCTGTTCACAACTCTGCAGGTTTAAACTTTATGTTACAGGGACTTTTAAATATGTATATGTACTTACATTGGTTGTGAAATTATTAAGAATTAGTTTTCTCGATTTGAAATTTACTTGAGAATGTTAATGAGAAAATTTTTAATTTATGACAATTACATTGTTTATAAAATGTGAAACAAGCCCAATTTTAGATGTAGTCCGAGGATAATATAAGACCACTTCTTCTTCTCTACAAACGGTAAAATGTTGAAGTGCTGAGTTCACGTATTGGTTATAAAGTTTGACAATTTTAATATTTGCCTTAAACTAAGGTCGGGATTAAAGATTCCGGAAAAGTGTTTGTCTAATTAATATCCAGTTCCCTCTTTCCCCAAATAGGATCTTTCTTCGAAGGGGAAGGGGAATATTTTTCCATATATACAAATTTTACCAATCTCAGATTCGCTTCCTCTAGGAGAGTGGTATCAGGGGAAGATACACGGAATTTTTAATTCCGACCTTAGTTTAAGGCAGATATTAATATTTTCAAACTTATATTTAGCCTTTTTTCTGTTTCTCTTTTTTCTACATTTCATGTAGTTCTTCCAGTTATTTTTAGATTTTCCGATTCGAACTCTACTTATACATCGTGATATTTCTATACAACCCTTTTAGAAAAAAATTGAATAAATTGCTCTTATTCCTTTGAAATCTCTTTAACATGGGTACGGCCGAACTTGTTGTTCATTGTTTTTACTTCTAGTTCTTCTTCAAATATAATCCTAAAAATATCCACCGAATTACTCTCTTATGTAGCACGTAGACAAAAAATAAAAGAGAGAGATGTGATCCCAGAAAAATTCGAACTGTTGAAATCGTTGGTATTGAAATTTATCAGCAATGTATTTTATGTAATTTGGTACTTTTGATATTTTTTGATCCCAGACATGTCCCCTCATAGAAGGCCGAAAGTTCTTGCTTTAGATGACCGCAAGTTCTTGCTAAAGAAGTTCTTCTTGGAGAATGAAACAATGCTTTCTCGTAAAAGTCCTGAAGGTCTTCTTATAGAAGCCCAGAAGGTACCTTTTTAAAAGGACGGAAGGTGTTCAAATAGATGGCCAGAATGTTTTCTTATAGAACTCCACAAGTTCTATCCGTAATTGACCACAAGGTCCGTTCTTCGAAGATCAGAAGGTGTACTCATATAAGCCCAGAATGTCCTAGAGAAAAAGACCGAAAGGTCCTCTCATAGAAGGCATAATGGTCTTCCCATAGAAGACCAGAAGGTCTTTTATAGAAGGACAAAAATGTTTATCATAGAAAGGCAAAAACTCTTATCTTAGAAGGCCAGAAGGTCTTCTTTTAGAAGGCCAGAAGGTCTTCTCATAGAAGACCAGAAGGTCTTCTCATAGAAGACCAGAAGGTCTTGTCATAGAAAACCAGAAGGTCTTCTCATAGAAGACCAGAAGGCCTTATCATGGAAGACCAGAATGTCTTCTCATGGAAGACAAGAAGGTCTTCTTAGGGAAGGTCAGGTATTTGTATACAAAGCCAGAAGGTATTTTTATAGAAGGCCAAAAAGTTTTCTCAAGAGGAGAAGAAAGTCTTATCATAGAAGGCCGGAAAATCTATCCGTAGAACACGGGAAGTTCTTATCATTGAAAGTAAGAAGTTCTTTTCATACAAACCAGAGTGGCCACAATGAGAAGGCCGCAAAGTATTCTTATAGAAGTCCAAAAAGTCTTCCGATTTAAGGCCGAAAGGGCTTATCATAAAAGCACGGGAGGTCTTCTCGTAGGAGACCAGAAGGACTTTTCATAGAAGGCCAGAAGGTCCTGCCATAGAAGGCTTATCTTTAAAAAAGGCCAGAAATGTTTCTCATAGAGGAGCAGAAAGTCTTAAAATTGAAGGCCGGAAAATCTTATTATTGAAGGTCAGAAGTTATTTTCATACAAACCGGAAAGTCTCATCAAAGAAGGCCTTAAAGTATTCTCATATAAGTCCAAAAAGTCTTCCATAGAAGTACAAAAAGTCTTCCCATAGAAGGCCGAAATGTTTATTATAGAAGCCGAAAAGGTATTCTCATAGGAGACCGGTAGGTTTTCCCAAAGAAGAACTCTAGAAAAAGGCCGGAACGGTTATCTTATAAGGCTAAAAGGTCTTCCCATAGACCTTTAAAGATCTACTCGTGGAAATTCACAAGCTCTTCTCGTGGAAGACTTGATCTTTTTACAACAGTATAAACAGGCCACCAAAAGTTTGTAAATTATCCAAATTTGGATCGAATTGTTCTCTATTTGTTATTTCTTGAGGGTAGATTTGATGTATTTATCCTTTAACATGTTAAAAATTTTACATATGGCTTCCAAAGACAAGATTCGAGAGATCACGAAGATTATACTTAAAATTTGATTTCAAAATTTGGGCGAAGTTTTGAACTTTGATTTAATTCAAGAATTTTTTACAAAGATTGTTATAAAATGCTTGCTCATATTCCATGACAGGCAACTTAAATATATATACAATATTCTATAGAAAAAACTTCCCAAAGAAAAAGGTACTTAATATATTTACAAAATTAAATCAAAAATACCGAACACTTTCCACAAGTGCAAACTTCTTCCAACAAAAAACCGGGAGACTCGATCATGCATTTAACAGAATCATAAATCAAACAGACGGGGTTAGGGTAGGCATTCAAAACCACAAAAAGTCAAAACAAAACAATGTTTTGATCAGTGCTGCATCAAAACATTTTATTTTCCGCAGGGGCAAGGGGTCGTTAAAACAAAACTATTATTTTCGAAATTAAAAAACCAATAAAAGATAAATCATCTGCATTTAATTGAAATATGTGTTTTTGTACTGCCAACTCCAGTTGTCCTTCTAGGACGACTTTTTTTCAGTTTCAACACAACAAAAAGACAGCGACGACATCGAATGCTATTCGATGCGAATCGATGAAATACCACCACCAATTTACCATTTGGTTTGGTGCCGGAGACAGTTGTAGCAACAAATACCACAAGCGATAACGATATAACAACAACAATAAACACCCACAATTGCAGTAGAACATGGGGGAGGGTGTCTCCCCCTCGGTCATACTCCAGCTCGTAAGGCATATTGCCGATATCGCCAGCGATGTTGGCATCGTTGCGGCCCAGAAGATGCTGCCGGTGATTTCGTACTATGACGAATCGCTACCCGCCGCATCTTCTATAATTGAATTGAGATCGATATTAAATGAATACTCATAGAGATTCGAGTAGCGATCACGCTCCTTCCAGGGTGATCGGTGATTCATATAAAGATTTCTTTTACTAACACGAAATATTTGGCTATCTTTAATGGATTGATCGTCGTCACATGGCTCACCGCCACCACCAAAATCACATTCTCGGATGGTCAGGCGATTCGTGGGCGACTTCAGTTCGAACATGACGTCCTGGTGCTTGTAGCGCGGCCGCATCGGCAGTGGCTGGTAGCCGGGAATGACAACCTTCTGTGAGTCAACCGATTGCGTGGACTGGCGGCGCATGCCGCGCCCCTTGTTGAAGGGGAAGTTGCGCAGCAGATTCGAGTCCGTGCTGCGTTGTGGGGAATAGTACTTGAAGTCTGTGGGCGCCGGAGCTGTGGGTCCCGTCGTGTGTATGGTGGTCAGCGTGGTTGTGCTGGCCGAGGGTGCGGCCGACGCCTGTAGCTGCAGTGTTGAGGGACGTTTGGGCTGCTGATGGGTCTGCTGCTGCGATTGCAATGAGACGCCCGTGGCCGAGACGGGTGTAATGGCAGGTTGGACTGTTGTTGTGGCCACCGTTGTTGTGGCTGGCTGGTGATGCGGGTGATGATGCAACAGCGGCAGCGGTGAGTTGCGGGCATCGAACGACGGTGACAGAGGCAGGTGCAGGGAACGCTTCAGACTCAGGCGATAGGATGACACGGCCGGCGAGTGCATCAGCGAGGGTGTGGCCAATGCACTGGGCGTGGTATCATGATGCAGCTGAAGCTCTTGTTGTTTTTGGTATTTGTTATTGAATTGATGAGCAGGTGGTAGTAGTGTTTGTAGTGAACATTTTTGATGCTGATGTTTTTGTTTTTTGTGATGATGTTTGTTGCGTGACTTACCGTTTTGTAAATTGTCATAGCTGCGCGGCCTATAAACGCCGCCAGCGGTGGCAGCACTCCCAGCTTCCATGGCTGATGATGAGGTATTGGACTGGTCGATTTGATGCGGTATATGGCAGGATGATAGGTGTTCGGGTGGCAAGGAAATGCAAGGGGTGTATGCGTGTGGGTGTGTGGGCGTCGTTTCAATGAAATTCGTCATCAAAATGAAATATTCCAAAGAGAACAACAAAAACAAAAGGTTTGTTGGTCATGTCAAAGTGTTATTGTTGGTTGGGTGTTAATCAGTTTTTTTTTTTTGTGGATTTCATTTCATTCGTGTTTGATGGTATTGTTTGATTGATATGTGGTCCGGTTTTTTGCAAATGGGAAACAAACAGAGAAAAAAGAACAAAAAAATACATGTTTTGATCAGTGCATTATTAGTTTGGAAAAAATGAAAAATTTAATTCGTTTATTCTCTTTCAATAACAGAGGTGCTGTTTCAGAATAAAAATTGACACCGAGAGTTTTGAAAAAAATTGTTTGATACCAAAATGAAAGGAAATTCTCTTTGCACGCACGCACTCATCGAACAGACGATGCTAATTGTAAATTGGATCTAAAGACTTACCTCGTCATAGTATCTTGACTTGAGATCGCCACCACCTATACTAATGCCACCACCGGCACCGCCAATCATTGGCTGTGACGTGATCATGGCACCACTGCTCACATGGGTGGCACTTATCACATCGCTGAGCGGGTGGCGAGGACTTGAATGTTGTTGCATTTGTAAAATGTACTCATCGGTAGCGATGCCACGTCTGGAAAGGAGGAAAATGAAAAATTAAATTTTGGAAAAAGGGGATAAAGACAAATGCGAAAAAAGTAACTTTACATATGTCTGAGGTTAAATGAGAACGTTTCGAATGTTAGCACTTAAGGCTAGAGTACACATGATGATGATATTCATATAAAAAGTGATATTATCCACATTATCTGTAGAATTTGTATGGCATACTTTTAGGCTCTCCCCAAAGTTTTTATACCTTCAGCCATATGACTAGAGAGGGTATATATCATTTGATACGGCCAAAACGTGCCTTATCGAAATAACGGTTTTAGACACTAGGTCTCTTTGGGCCAAATCCGTTTCAGGGCATTTAGAGTCGATCTAAAGATGTCCATCCGTCCGTCTGGCTTGTGCGGCAGACAGGCGGGATTCTCCGACTTGGTCCAAACTAGGTAACTTGCAAACATAGATCGAGATCGGAGATGGGCAGTATCGGTCCATTCCTTCTGGTACTCTCCCTACAAAAGGTCGAAAGTTTCAAAGAAAATATTTAACAGTACAGAAAGAGAGGGGGTTAATTCGATTTTGCTCCAACTTTGCACATCCTAATATTTGCATCAGTGCAAGGTAAGATGCGAAAATGAACAATATCAGTCCTCTCCATCAAGTACCTCCCCCATAAACGGTCAACATTTTGAATAATTATAACTCTTATAAAATGTGATGTAAGAGTCCGATTGTCTTCAAATTGCACTCATCACAATATTTGTATTAACCAAAGGTCTGGTGTGAATACGGAATATATCGGTATACTCCTTCTGGTACCTTCCCAACAAAGGGTCAAAATTTTGAAAATCCATGAAGCTCTTAAAACGCGAATTTAGAAAATAAGCATCTGGTTATCTTCAAATTACACACATCACAATATTTTTATTAATCCAAGGTCCGGTGTGAAGATGGAACATATCGGTCCACTCCTCACCCCTGATACCTCCCCCCAAAATTTTCAAAGAAATTGTTTAACTGCACAGAAAGAGAAGGGTTATCCGATTTTGCTCCAACTTTGCATATCCTAACATTTGCATCAGTTCTAGGTCAGGTGAGAAAATGAACCATATCGGTGCACTCCATCAAGTACCTCCCCCAAAAACAGTCTAAATTTGGAATAATTATAACCCTTATAAAATGTGATGTAAGAGTCCGATTTTCTTCAAATTACACACATCACAATATTTGTATTAACCAAAGGTCTGGTGTGAATACGAAATATATCGGTCCACACCTTCTGGAACCTCCCCCACAAAGGGTTAACATTTTGAATATAGCGTTGCTTCTAAGTTTAAAAATTGTTGGGAGCTCCTTAAAGTATGCTATCAAAATGTAAAATGTGAAAAACTTCTTTACGTATGACTCTAACATAATGTGTAATCTGACCTTTATCGGTTCTAAAAATTATACCATTTTTTATACCCTCCACCATATTATGGAGGGTATATTAATTTTGTCATTCCGTTTGTAACTCCTCGAAATACTCATGTCAGACTCAACAAAGTATATATATTCTTGATCAGCGTAAAGTTCTAAGACGATTTAGCCATGTCCGTCTGTCAGTCTGTTGTAATCTTTCGAACAAATTGAGATAGAAGGCTAAAATTTTGCACACATGTATATTTTGCCAGTAGGCAGGTTAAGTTCGTAAATGGGCCATGTAGGTTCAAGTTATCATATAGCCCCAATATACCGTACCCCCCGATATTCGGTATTTTGATGATTTAAGCGACATTATTTACCGGGATTGTTTCAAATTTCGCATGTGAAGTTCGTAATGGATACTTCAGCCCATGCCAGAAAATTGTTTGCGCAGGTCCAAGTCTTCGTATAGCCCCCATATAACGGTACCCCCATATTCGGTATTTTGATGATTTTAGCTACATTATAAACAGATTTTTCTTCAAGTTTCGCATTTAAATATTGTAATAACTTATGACATTTATAATAAGCATTTGGTATTTTTAAGATTTTAACAGAATTTTTAACAGATTTTATTTTTTTTTTTTTTTTGGAAATTGCTAATTTTATACCAAATGGTGGAGGGTATTTAAAGGTCGGCCCGGCCGAACTAACAGCTTTTTACTTGTTATTTATTTATTTAAATTCGTATTATGGGCCATAGGAGCACCTGTCAAGTTCCTTATTTCTTTGTTCTTTCTTAATTGGTATTCCTGAAGTACTTACCTATCTATTAACGAAGGTGTCATGGGACCGCATAATATATGACAACAATTTAAACAAATATTCCCTCTGGAATATGGATTTAAATTGCGTTGGCCGCCTTTGGAAGAAAATGAGCCTTTGAGCTGTAAAATAAAAAAGTGAATAAAAACAACAACGGAAAAAGCCATTAATTATTTCAACTCAGCTAAAAAACATTTCATGTGGAAACTTACATCTTCGTTTGTTGTTTGATCACTGGTGGTTAAATAGGTATGAAATCCCGCCAAACCGATCACAGACCAAATGGAAAAGAAGCAGATAAAAACCACAATTACGGTGAATGGTGCCTTTTTGATGACTTCGAATACTTCCTGTTCAGTTTTCATTACTGCAATGAGAAGGAAATTGGAGAAACCCAACAAAAAAAACAGAAAAAAAGACAAATACGAAAAAAAAAATCAAAAGAAAGATAAAACTGGATAAAAAAAGTGACAAGGACTCTTGTATTTGTTTTCTAGGAAAGTGATGACTAGTAAAAAAGGGGATTTTTGTCCCATCTCTTTTTTTTGGGCGATGGTGGTGTTCAGTTGCGGTTCCTTTGATTCTGTTTTTTTTTTTTTTTTTTTTTTTTTGCAAAACTTTGCCGCCTTCCTTTTTTAATTTTAATTAAGACAATTTTTCTTGTTGTTTTTCTGGTTTTGTTGTACTTACATAATACTAAATGCGTCACAGAGCATGAAAATATGAACACGGCTAAAAAAGCCAACGAGACTAGAAACAGATAAAAGAAGCGATAATTACGTTTACCCACACAATTGCCAACCTAGAAAAAAAACAAAAGAACATTAGTCGAATGAATAGACCTAGGGAAAAAGAACAGAAAATAGAAAAAAAAGGAAAGTAAAAGTGTGGGAGACAAGATGACAGAGATGTTGACAGGAGATGATGATGATAATAATGGGCGTGAATGCTATGCTAACAATAATTAAATCTTTGGCTTTGTTAGTGGGTAAGACAGAACAAGGCCCACAGTTTTATTATAACTGGATTGGACGAGGTCCTGTAAAACAATATTTTGATGAATAGCAAGGAAGTCAAATTATTATAACAATCGTGTCGAGTTGTTTCAATCAAAGTCGAGGTCAGAGTCGAAGTTATAAACCGAAGTCGGAAAGTGAATATTGTGTCAATTTTAGTTATTCGGAACAATGACTACTTCCGACTCCGATTATTGGCTTGGATTCCGACGTCGAATCTGGCAGAGTAATAGAACTAGGACTTGGAAAACACCTACGGAAGAATATGGATATACCAACAAATGTTTTGAAAAGCGGCAGTTTAATCCGCCAGAACCCAATATATCCTCTTACATGATGAGAACTGGGAAATTATGGTAATATCTTTTTATGCCATAAAAATGGGAAAATATATTCCATATAGAACAGTATTGGCTTGTTTGTTCGGGATACCGTAAAATTTTGTTGTTACCAAATGGCCAGGCTTTATCCCTTTATTGTTGTTTTTATAAAAACAACGTTTGTTTATTAGATAAAAATGTTTATAAGTGCGGTTGTAAGATTTAGAAGTTTTTCCAAAAGAATTTAAGTTTTATGTAATTCTTTGGTTACTCTTCTATTAAGCTTACGATCTCGTCACTTGGGTAAAAAAAATGTTTTTTGTCATAGAAGTTATTTTTAAAATAACTTCTGGGGAGAATATCCCGGACATAAAACAAGGGAACCTCATGGTGGCTCTTTCCGACACCTAGGTATTCCCTGCCTTACCCCCTGGTAAACATTACCATCGTTCTCCACTAATAAACAAACGTTGTTTTTATAAGAACAACAATAAAGGGTAATTTTGCAACAACATATTCCGAATTTCGAAAGTGTTTGACGCAATTCTGACATCGATTTTGACAGACTAATAGGCCTAGGACTTTGAAAATGCCTATGCAAGAATATGGATATGTAACAAAAATTTATATTGAAACTCGTCATATGTCAAATCACAACATATATTGAGAAAACAGTACGATTCCGTAATAAGGGGTTTGTATAAAAATCTCTATATCCTCTAGAAAATATGTGGGTGTATGACTATTTAGAACCTAATCTCTCCGAGAACTCCATAGAAGGTTTCTGACGACAAATCAGGTTCGGGTTTTAAGACTCTGGTACCTGGTATTTGAATGTCTGAGGATAAATAATAATTTTCTGAAGACTACCTCAATCTACCTGAGCTAACTCCTCTGTCTCCAATGGGCGACTTAAGATTAAATATCTTAAGTAATGAGCAGTAAAACATTAATTTCTGAGGGGCAAATAACTGATCTGGGAACTAATACCACATTTACCCCACATTAAGGCACAATGGTCACCAAAAAGCGATTTTAGTTCTTACGATATCTAATATTACTTATACCTTATACATTCCGTTTTTTAGGGTTTATACATGAGTCTCTGATTATTAATTTTAAGAGGGTGACTAGTATTGCAATCTCTGATGATTGATTTCTTCGAGTTGGCTACTATTATTACCGGTGCTTTTTAAAGAACTAGTATCCCAACTTACGAAAACACATACTTTATGTTTGTAGAACAGTGTAGTCTTTGCCTCTGAGGGATGGTTATTGAAACTTCAAACCCATGTTAATGTTTTAATACATTTGTGTGTTGGTATAGTTCAAAGATATTTTATAGTATCTTGGCGAAGTGACATTTTAATCCTGCCTTTGAAAACATATAAGTCTGCCGTTGACTGGTGCATCAGAACTGTTGTGTAAATGCAAGTCCTCTGAGTGGGGACTAAAATTTCAGTTTTTTAAAGACGTAGTTCCTGATATATAATTTTTCTACTCTTCATATCTTCGTTTTCCTTACGACTTATACGTCATTCCGTTCGTAACTCATCGCAATAATAATTTTAGACTTAACAAGGTATATGTAAATATTCTTGATCAACATAAGATTAAAGTCTTTTGTCTGCAGGCAGGTTAAGTTTGAAGATGGGCTATATCGGTCCACGATATCGTATAGTCCCTATATAACGGTACCCTCGATATTCGGTATTTTGATAACTGTAGCCAAATTTTTCAATGACATTATCTGAAAATCCACAAAAGGAGTTCCTTTTGAGTACTTTACCCACTGGAAGAGAAATGTCTATATAGGTCCACGATATCGTATAGCCCATACAACGGTACCCCACGATATTTGGCATTTTGACGATTTAAGAGACATTATTCACCAGATTTGTTTCAAATTTCGTATTTGGAATTCGTAATTGGTACTACAGCCTATGACAAAAAATTGTGTATGCAGACCCACGTCTTTGTATAGCCTTGTCTTTCCCGATTGTTACAGATGTTTTTTTTAACTAATACTTCAGTTTCATAGGATCATTACATTTACCAATTTAAAGAATTATTAGCTTATTTTGAAAAGGTTCAATATCTAAAGCTCATCTCCAACTGAAATTATTGCCTTTGACAAATACCACGTTTTTCAATGTTTGGTTATTGGTTCTAAAAAATTGCATTTCTATCAGAACTTTGTGAAATCCCAAATATAAATGAGGATTTATATAACCATCACTACGAAGTCAGTCTATAAGGACCAAAAAGTACAGTCCAGGTGGATTAAAGTAATAGTCTTAGTAAGTTAATATTCCAGTCTTTCGGATGGGAAATATTTGTGTAAGTTCCCAAATTTTTGATGATTGTGTGTCGAAACTGGAAGACCTAATGTTATAGTTTTTGATGTTTTACGCCTTAGTTTTAGTAGTATACACCCCCAGTGTCCTGGTGATTATACAAAGGCCCCTAAGGATTGTAACTCAGTACTTAGAAAACTAGTATAATATGCTATAACCATACCTGTAACTAAAAGACTACCTTAGTTTCTGAGCAATACTTCAATGCATGAATTATTGAGGGTTATAATATCAGTACCTCATAGTACCATACAGACGTCCGTGAGCATTGATGCCTTAGTATCCGAAAAAAAATCATTGCTTAGTCCTATGGTTTACAATTCCTATCCTAGGACGAACCTTCATTCTAAAATTATTACTGTCACAACTATTAAGATCAATATCTCAATTTCTAAAGATGACTTCCCTAGTCTTTTATGACTAATTTTTTACTACATGAATGATTTTTCAGTTTTGGACCATAATTGATTATTCAGAACCTTTGATTTTTTACATAGGAAGGGATTACTGTTAGATCTAAGTTCTGTTTATTGTAAATATTTTATTTATTACCTAATAATTAAAAATTCTACGGTATTCAAAGATATTTTTTTTATAAAATATTTGCTAGTGCAACATAAATTTGTTGCAGTCAAAAATTCATCCGTCTTATTGAAATTATTGTTTTGCAACAGTTGACTTTGCTACTTCTTTCATAACCACTTCAACCAAAGGAATCAAAATACCCTTTCGTTACAATTACAACTCTTCTTTTGATTCATTGAGAATAAGTCTTCAGAGTAGCAAATTTTCTTACTTTTACTTTTCATATTTACCTTACTTGTGAAAAGGGAAAATTACAAACTAATTAAAAGTACAAACATAGGAGACGATGAAAAGAAACATAAGAAACCTCAATATTGCTGAAGTTTATGGTCTCTGTAATGGAGGGACCTACCCACCACACACACAGGCAACTTGCATTTTCTTTACAGCACTGCATTTCGAAATGTATTTCATTTGTAACAGCTTCTTCTTTATTTTCTTTCCTTTACATCAGATGTCACAAGAAGAAGAAGTTTTCTTTTTTGTTCAAATATTTCTCTCCCAAAGGCCATCAAATAAGAAAAACAAACGGTAAGCCATGAAAATTATGGGAAAAAAGAAAAAGAATCCCACTGCAATGCATACAATAATAAGGAAAGGAAAGAACATCAAGAATGTAATCAAGGAAAAGAGATCCTCAAGAAAATTTTGTAATTTATAGAAGCCTCCTGGGTTATCATCGTTAGAAGAACTCAAGAAGGTCTTCTATTTGGGGAAGACCTGCAAATGGTTTTTCGTCTATAGATAAAACCAAGGAATTTTTTTTCTAGAAAACACCTTCAACAACTTTCATCAAAACTATACATAAAGGACTTCTCCATAAAAATGTCCTCTAGAGGCTCTCATAAAAAAGGTATTTTATAAACGGATTATAAGAACGTATATACAGAAGAACTTTTATAAAATGTCATATAACGAAGAACAAATGTGAAATATATTTTCTATAGGTCTTCTATAGAAGGTCAGAGAAGGTCTACAATTATCAGAAGTCACTCTAGGGAAGGATTAATGATATTCTTGTATATAAGTCCCATAAAGAATTTTCCGTATAGCTCTATATGACATCATCTATAACCGACGTAGGCAGGTTGGGGCCCGAGCCCCTTTCAAAATGGTACATTTTTGGATATTTTTGAGCAATTTTACCTGAAATTCTAATTTTTGATGATGGGCCAAACACTTTTATCAAAACTATCCCTAAAGAACTTCTCCATAAAAATGAGCTCTAGAAGGGCTCTCATAAAAAGGTATTTTATTAAAGGCTAATACAACAGAAGAACTTCTATAAGAAGTCGTTTAAAGAAGTGCATATGTGAATATGAAAATTGGAGCCGGAACCTTGAAAATACCAAAATTCTGGAAGTATAAATATATGGGGGTTATACCAAATATTAGAACTACATTGAAAACATTTAGAGAGGATTAAAACTGGCTACTAAGAATCCCAAATAGCAAAATAAAACCGATTAGGTTGTAGATATGAAGATAAACCTGTGAAATAGCCCAAAATGTAATCCTCCTTCG